AGCCTGCTTCTCCCTCTCCCACTCCCCCTGCTTGTGTTCCCTCTCTTGCTGTGTCTCTCTCTGTCAAATAAATAAATAAAATCTTAAAAAAAGAAAAAAGACAAACAGTAGATAAAAAAACAAGACCCGCTTATATGTTGTCTATAAGAAATTAAAACCACAGTGAGATACCACTAAACATATAACAAGATGTTTAAAATTAAAATGGCTGTATCAAATACTGGCAAGAATGTGGAACAAGAGAACCCTTATAACACTGTTGGTGGGAAAGAATATGGTACAAACCATTTAGAAAACAATTCAGCAGTTTCTTAAAATAGAACAACAGCAAAAAAAAAAAAAAAAAATACCGTCTATATGACCCCCAGTCCTTCCCTCTTCACTATCTACCCAAGAGAAATGAAAACATATGTCCATACAATAATTTTCACATGAATGTTCATAAGAGCTTTATTTTTAAATAACCAATGAATAGAAACAACACAAATGTCCTCCATCTGTATAATGGGATACTACTCAAAAAAAAAAAAAAAAAAAAAAACACGAGCTACTGATACAGACAAGAGCATGGATAAATCTCCAAATAATTATGCTGAGCAAATAAAGCTGGTTGAAAACACACACTCTATGAACCCATTTATAATAAATCCTAGGAAATGCCAGCTAATCTGCAGTGACAGCAGAACAGTGGTTGCCTAGGGGTAGGGAAGAGGCAGAAGAGAGGGATTACAAAGAGACACAAGGAAATTTTAGGAGGTGATGGATATATTCATTACCTTGATTGCAGTGATGTCAAAATTTACATATGTATCAAATGATACAGTTTAACATGTGAGGTTTACTGTCTGTTAATTACAGTTCAATAAAGCTGTTAAAAAGAAAAAGCATCAAGCCCTTTTAAAGAAGACCTAGAATATAGGATTTGGGGGATCCAACCCAAGAGCTAGGAGCAGAGGGGAAGGCCAGGCAGTTGGTAGAAGGCCTAGGACCCGGCTGAGCAAGGGAGCTGTCAATCAGATGGGAACGGGACGACGGAGCGCTCCAGGAACAAATGAAAGACATACTTTGTGTGTTTGAATGTGCTAATCGAAACACTAAGGAAATCAAGTTCTACTGGAGAGTTTGGGCATGACTTAGATCCATCAAACAAGGTCAACAAAATACATCGAGCCAAGTAAACAAAACGAGGCAATTCTTAATTGCAAGGGAACCAGAAGGTTGCACGAGCTAGGAAATACAGCAGGAGTACAAAAAAGTGGCTCTAGTCTAAACACACTTACACAGGCCTGAAGACGTAAGCTCAGCTAGCCAATTTCATACATCGGGAGAAAGGGAAGAAGAGGTTGGAATTGGTGTGTAGCTCAGCCGTTGGGGAGAGAGTGTGCAAGAAGCCCCACATCTCAACGCCCAAACCAAGAAGTCGAAAGACAAAAAACTCAAGGTAGTGTATCAGGAAAGAATATAATTAGGTGAGGCCTCAGGTATGTTAACGAATCTTATTACCGACTTGATTTCACAGCATAGACAAGTGTCAGATCAGCATGTCAGATACACATATCGGGTATCGTGTAGACAGACGCGGGTGACTAGCAGAGATGTAGCCGAGGGAGAGAAAAGCGGTTGGCTCTAGGAAGCTGGACTCTGGGCAGGTAGGAGAATGAGGTAGGAGACTGCTGCTTGTCATCAGAGCTAATACTCTCTGGTTTTTCAAACTACATATAAAATATCCCTTTGACAAAACTAAACCTAAGAAAATGTACGGCAAGAATCCTAGGAGAACATCAGAAACAGTGAAAACAGTGGGCTTGACTATTTCTCCCTACTTATTTGCTTGTCCAGAATTTCCCCAAGTCTATTTATTCTTTCATTAAAAAAAAAAAAAAGGGAGTCAATAAATGCAAGTGAACGAAACCCATCCTGTTTACAGTTCTGGGTGAGGCGGAGGAAAAGACTTGGAAAAGAAAGTAGAAACCCTGGTGGAAAATCCCAGAGTGGCGAGCAGCGGGCGGTGCTCCCGGTCCTGGTCCGCAGTGCCCGGGACAGGCTTCCCTGGGAAAGCACCGCGCCGCTTGCGGCTGCGGGCCGGCTGCCCGCCCGAGAGCAGGTGCCCGCGAGCGCGGGAGGGGCCAGCGCCCTCCGCCGCCACGCCGTGCGCGCGCACGTACGCCACCGCTGCCGACACACACGCACACACGCACGCACGCACACACACCGCTGCCGACACATACGCCATCACACACACACACGCCAACACACACACACGCCAACACACACACACGCCAACACACACACAAAAACAACCACCACACCACACACACACATCGCCACAGCACACACACACACCGCTGCCAACACACACGCACACACACACACATCAACACACACACACATCAACAAAACATGCACACATACCACATACGCCCCCCCCAATGACAACACACACACCATCACCACCACCAACACACACACCCCACCACTGCCAACACACACACACACATCAACAAAACACACACACACACACACACCCCAATGACAGCACACACACCATCACCGACAACACACACACACACACCACCGGCAACAATATACACACAACAACACACACACACCCCCCACCGCCGCTGCCAATACACACACAAAAACAACCTCCACACCACACACAAACACACACACACACGTCAAAGGCTGATACCAGATTCCTGACATTGCTATTAGGCTGCCTTCTCGTGCCTACAACTTAACCTCAAAAATATCTCCCATTTGGAAACTTCCATTTTCTAGATAGTTCTCCTTCAGAAGGAAGCAAGGAGTGGAAGGGGACGGAGTGGCTAAGAAGGGAAATGAGAAGGAGTCGAGTGCTATCCTAAAGAGAACATCCTAAGTTTCTGGGGGAAAGCCTGGACAATGGGTGCTTCCCACATATTATCTCATTGAATTCCAAAAATAATTCATATTCCCTTTTAACAGAAATGGAATCAAAAGCCAAGAGAGGTCAAAGAATCTTTCCGAGCTCCCCAAAGTCAGAATTTGAACCCAGCACTCTTCCGTCCTTCCTAGTCCTCTCTCTTCTTTCTTTCCCTCCTTCACTATATATTTTTTTCTTTCCAAACCCTTACATGGCACCCAGCCACGACACTGAACCCTGGGCTGGGTCTTGGTGAACTTGCACTCAAAGGAGCGATCTGGGAAGTGAAGTAAGTGAGTGAATAGTTTCAGGTGCTTGTTAGGGCTGTGCAGCCGGCGAAAATGGGCGCCATGAGGGACAACCCGACTCAGGTGGAGTGGGGTTCGGGGGAGCAGGTGGTCGGGGAGGGCCTCTGAGGACGCAATGTTTGAGCTGAGCCCTGAATGACAAGCTGGGGAAAGGCAGGGAGCACAGCTTCTGGACGGCTGTGGGGGGTCTATCTGGCGGGGGGCGCCCCCTGGGATGGTGACCCCGAATGTGTGGGAAGACTACTGGCGAGGGCCCTTGGGAACGGCCCCTGTGAGGAGGGATGGCAGCAGACCAGGCAGAGGGAGCACTCGAACCATGCTGGCACCCTGCACAAGGACCCTGACCTTGCTATGGCGGCCACATTGGGGCTGAGAATTCAGTCATCTCCGGAGCTCCGAAGCCTGATAATTAAGTCCTGAACCTGATGCTCAGCCTTTTCTGCCTTCAGGTTATAGGAGATGATTGTCTCTTTATCTGCTACCAGGAGAGTCCTCGGACTGTCACACTTGACCTTATTGAATCATCGCCCCCAGCCTTCCACTGTCTTTCTCAAATGCATCAGTGGTTCTCAGCAACAGCCATCCTACTCCTGTTTCTCCCCACTGCCAGCTTCCCAAAGACCTGAGACACTGCCCTCCAAGTGCATCCCTGTCCATGGGCATTCCATCCAAGTTCATCGTGGGACTCAGAATGATTGCACGGCTCACCTGGGCCATCAGGGCTCCACCACGGTGACGGAGTCCTCATGGCCACTGGCTGGTGAGTGATCTAACTCCAAAATCCTAAGCAGAGTTGGCTTCCCCAGACCGCATGTGTACGGTAAGTTTATTGGTGAATGCTATCTGGACCAACCCCTGGGGGGCAGTAAAGGAAGTTTGCCAGAGAACTTGAACTCCAGCACATTGGCAACAAGGGCCCAGCTCACCTCATGGGGAAATCTGGAGCTAAGGTGGCTCTTCACAGACTGAAGCAGGGGGACTGGTCTTTGGTACCTCCGCATCAACCCATTATTGGGTTGGGCAGCCTCCTGGAAGGGGGCCATGACTTCCAAGGTGACAATGTCCTTCAGGGCGGTATGTGGTGGGGGGGGATGCTCAGCTGGGAGCCATCGGCAGGTGATGTTGCTGGTAGCTGGGGAATGAGCACTTTGGTCCTGAAGGGGTTTTGGGGGAGTGCACGGGGACAGCCACCATAGCCCCACTTTGGACACTTCTAATGTGAAAAACAATTAGTTTCCTTTCCTGAGGCATCCATAGAGTCAACATCTGGAGGCTGAGAGCCTGAGGCCCCAATTACAAGTAGCAAAAGAATTTGGACAGGATGCATTTAATCTTGAGTTAATGGTACAATGCTCCGCCAAGATAAACTTCTCAACCTCGACATATTTTATTTTGAAAAAAATGTTATTGTCAGGTACAGGGGAAATTCGTCCTCAGTTCGTGCCAGATGACATAATCACTGGATGGGGCCAGTGTTTGGTGTGCTATCTTTTTCATCTGAGTAGATCTCTCCCCCACAGACCCATCTCTCAAAAAGCTGACCACGGTTACTAAGTAATTCCAGCCTCTCTGGCAGCTGCAGGACGGGAAAACAATGGGACTTGAAAACAGACATTTTTGGATGTCACATTTCTAAACATCAGATATGTTGGATTTCCCTCCCCCCACCCCTTGCCCTGGGGGGAATTCAAATGGGAATTAAAGGGAGTACTTTGACCTTATTTTTTGTTCCTTACATACATTTTTATTGAGCACCTACTCTGTGGCCAATATGGTGGTAGTTATTAATAATAATGACATTATTAATAATAATGAAGGGTTTCACTGCCTATTGTGGGCCAGGCACTGTGCAGACATTACTTTATAATACTTGTAAGGACTGCAGGAGGTAGATGGGTGCCGAAATTATCCCAGTTGTCTAGAAAGGGACATGGAGGCTCATCTAGATCTAATCAAGTGAAGTTCAAGGGCCTTCCATCTACCACAGAGTCTAATGAAGTCAAGAAACTCAGTAAATGAGTTCCCTGACGGCCCTGTGCCTGCTTCCACGGTGGACAGTGTGACACACAGATCTGCTTCTCAGGAGGGGCCTGGCGCTCTCGGGCAACTCTAGGGCTCCAGAACTCTCCAGACTGCCACTGGCGGGAGGTCTGGGTGTCCCTTCTATGGGCTTGGTTCTTTCAGATCCACCCTCGGGGCTTTGCTTTAGGGCTAGGATAGAGCTAAAGGCAGGAGAGAATGGGGGCACCTGGGTGGCTCAGTTCAGTTGAGTGTCTGACTCTTGATTTCGCCTCAGGTCACGCACGATCTCAGGGTCGTGATATCAAGCCCTGCGTTAGGCTCTGCGCTGAGCCTGGAGCCTGCCTGAGATTCTCTCCTTCTCCCTCTGCACCTCCCACTGCTCTCTCTCTCTCTCTAAAATAAATAAATAAATAAATAAAATCTTAAAAAAAAAAAGATAGGATAGGATGGGGGATAGAAGGGAGGGTCCTACAGCCCACCTTCACCACAGAATTTAAGAGTGCACAATGAAGTGCTGGAAATAAATACCCTCTTTGTTTTGGGCATGGTTCAATGTCAAATCCTGGATGTATGGTCACTTAGTCTACAGAACTTTTTCAGAGACATTTTTCCACCCAGTGAAGTTGGCAGGGCTGGGATCACCAGTCCCATTTTGAATAAAGGAGGTGAGACTCAGCAAAGCTACCTGACTTGCCCAGGATCACCTTCAAACGCCAGGGTGAAGGCCTCCTACAGGACGATGGAGTCTGAGCCAGAAATCTGAGAGGCCACCGTGTAATCCAGGAGAGAGAAGACAGGCTTTGGAGTCAGAAGAGCTAAGTTTGAATGCTGGGTTACTGGAGACCGTGGGTAAATTACTTAGCTTCTCCCAGCCTCAGTTTCATCATCTGTAAAATGGAGTGAGTATCACAGCTATAAAGAAGCTAACCTGGGCTGTTTGAGATAAGTCCTACATCTCTTTTCCCTTTCTCAAAGATGTACAATTATTCTTACACAGACGTGATTATTATTAAACAGTTAACACTTACCTGACTTCTAAAACTAATTTGAGGCAGTGGATGCAATGATAAGCCCAAAGGAGCCAGATCCTTGTCCTCTTTAGCCTTTGCCCCCGGATGGGTAGGTCATTTCAAAGAGGTGGGAAATGGAAAGATGTACAAGACAGTCACTGGACCGACACCGGGCCAGGCTGAGCACAAGCTGAGCTGAGTGCAGCCCCCAGGACGTTGCTTTCTCTCCAGGATCCTGTCTCACTCTGCCTTCTTTTCCCCTCACGCTGAACTTGTGTCCTGACCACGAGCATCTTCACTGCTCTTCCCTCTGCCAGGAACACACTCGAGCAAGCTGAACAAGCTCAGCTCGAATGTCACTTCACTCATTCATTCCTTTATGCAGTGCTTCCTGAGCACTCACTAGATTCTAAACAGTGTGCTGTTACTTTCTAGCAGGGAGACAGTCAAGAAACAAACTCACACATACATAATTTCTGTTGCTGGTAAGGGCTATGAAGAACAGAGCAGGGCCAAGGGACAGAGTGGCAGGACGCTGTTTTAGATACGACGCTTGAGGAGCACTTGCCTCAGAGTGGAGTCTAGAGGGAATGGAAGGCTGGGATCTGGGGAGCATGGGCAACAAGGTGGGAGGAAATCCTTGGTGGGAATTAACTTGGAGTGTGTGCAGAAAGAAAGGAACAGGGCCTGGGTGCCCCCCATCCCTTCCTGGGCCTGGAATCTGGGTTGCCAAGAAGGGGGTGAACGTGGTTGCCTTTGTGAACTTGCTCAAAGCTGTGACATTCTGGGGCGCCTGGGTGGCTCAGTCGGTTAAGCGACTGCCTTCGGCTCGGGTCATGATCCTGGAGTCCCGGGATCGGGTCCCGCGTCGGGCTCCCTGCTCAGCGGAGAGTCTGCTTCTCCCTCTGACCCTCCTCCCTCTCATGCTCTCAGAGTGTCTCTCATTCTCTCTCTCGCAAATAAATAAAATCTTTAAAAAAAAAATTAAAAAAAAAAAAAAAAAGCTGTGACATTCTGGAAGTCAAAGATGGCCAAACCCACGGCCAGCTGGACGGAGAAGGGGGTTAGGATGCCGGCATTGCAGCTGGTGTCGGTGAGCCTGTGCTCTGCTCCGGTGCAGGCCACCTGTCCGGAGGTAGACGGAGCCTCCATGCGGCCGTGCAGCGTGGCAGGCAAGCCCCTCACTGCTAGCCTGCCTCGGAGACAGAAGTGCGGCCAATGCACTGGGACAGAGACCCCTGGGATCACTGCACTCACCTGCCCACCCAAGCCATATCCTTGCTGTCCGAGGTTCCCAGGGCTGCCACACCGAAGCACCAAAAAGTGGATAACTTAAAGCAACGACAATGTGTGCTCTCATAGTTCTGGCGGCTGGAAGTCTGACATCACAGGGTTGGCAAGGCCATGTTCTCTCTGAAAGCTGTAGAGAATCCTTCCTGGCTTTTTCTAGCCTCTGGTGGCTTTCTGGAAACATCCGGGACTTCTTGGCTTACAACAGCACCATCCCAGTCTTTGCTTTTGTTTTCACATGGTGTTCTCCCCGCGCATCGCTGTCTTGGCATGGCTATCTTCTCAGAAGGACATCAGCCATATTGTATTAGGGCCTCACCTACTCCAGCAGGACCTCATCTTCACTAATGACATCTGCAACAACCCTATCTCCAAAGAAAGTTGCATTTGGAGGTAGTGGTGGTTAGGACGTCAGCATGTCTTTTCTCAGGAGGTACGGAGGGGCATCATTTAGCCCACAACACCTCCCCTGCCCCCTCCAGCGAGGGGCCTCTCAGCCTCTGATGGGCGCTTACATTGACGGGAGCTGACATTGGCAGGAGCACTTGGCCTTCAATGTATTGAGCTCAGTTGCTGGAGATTTTCCTCTCCTGCTTCCCTCCCACAGATATTTATCAAGAGATTAATGTATTCCAGGAACAGTTCCAAGTCCTGGGTGCCCAACAGTAAACAAAACAGATGGTGGAGAGCCTGTCATTACATCATCCTTGCCTGTGGGGCCTGGGTCCCTTCTGAGGCTACACAGAACACCCTGGCCACACTCTGTATGTGGCCTTGTAGATACCTGAAGACAGGGATGTGTTCCCCCCCAAACTCCTTTGAAATGAACAACTTTAATTTCCTTACTTCTTCCTCACAGTAGGCTGACTATATATTTTATGGACCAAAGTAGGACATTTCTGAGAGTGAGAGTGAGTGCTATTAATAATTACACCAAGGCAACATGCGTAAACCAGCGATGTCCCGGGCCGACCGCAACATATGGTCACCTCATGGGGCACGGGTTTCCAGGTCCTTCCTCACCCCTGGCTGCTCTCTTCTGGGTGTTTTGTAGTCTGTCTCCTTTTAAATCACTGCTCCCAGAAGTAACTGCCATATGTGTCTGGCATAGTGGAAAAAAACAAATAGGCAGGGAGATCATTTTAATAAATGTGTGGAACACCGTAACAGAGGCAAGAGAGACGTATTTTGGGAACACAGAGGAAGAAACATTTAACTGTTTCTGACAAAGCTCGGGATGGCTTCCCAGAGGAGCCCATATCTGAAATGGGTCTTGAAGGGTGAGTAGAAGTTTCCCATTAGGAGAGTGGTGGGAGGCCTTGGGAAGAGCATCTCCATCCTGCCTCAAGGTAGAGGAAGAGTGGGGTTCCTTGCTCACCTGTTGCTGATGGAGAGTCATGTTATTCTTCCTAGAGCCTTGTGAGGTCTTATCTGATGCAAGCTCTACTTTGGGCTAAACGTTATGGGAAGGTTGTACTTGTCCTGGATGTCAGTAGTT